ATTCTTATTTCCTATCCCACTCCTGACACCAATTTGTTACGTCTCCGTATGTTTGTTTGTTAATTTTTGGCGATACAAGTTCTTTCTTAAATAAAACTTGTTTATTCTTCCTCAATACAACTTTGCAATACACTTAATTTTCACAGTTACACACACTATAGTTCACAACAATTCACTCACTTTCTACCGCGCCTGACTCAATTGTCCATCTCTATCTCCGCCTGTCAGCAACTATAGTTCCGATCTCTGTATTTGCTATCCTCGGTTCCCGCCGACCGTAACTGCTGTCCTTGGTTCCCCACTCTCTCTCCTTCTCTCTCTTGTTCTCTGCCTCTCTCTGTCTAGCGCACTTATATACGATAATACCGCCTCTTCTAGAATCTTCTAGGCTCTCAACACGTGCTACCAGAGTCACTTGACTTCCGCTGTCATAACACACTACCGTTTATCGCAAATCTTCTAGAATACTCGTCACGTGACCCCGCTGTCGTAACATTATTTTTTTATACACATATTTTTTAGTTTTTGATTCAGGTGCTACAGTGCTGCTCCAGTAGCACTACATCCCTGTATGCTGCTGATGGAAGCAACAAATACTACAAGTGCAATAGCAAAAACTAGACTGAACACCTGCAACACTAGCACATACAAGCCACCTCCAGCAGATCTCTTGCAAATTTTATGATATTGTTACGTCTCTGGTCGTTAGTTAATTTTCCGTAAAAACGCTTTCCGAAGAAACTTTACCGATACAAGTCCTTTCTTAAATAAAACGGGTTTATTCTTTCTGTATACAACTTTGCAATACACTTAATTTCCACAGTAACAAACGCTATAATTCACAACGAACGTCTCACGTGCTCAACTGTCAATTACACATTGCCTTCTTGCCGTCACTTCTTGGCGTCTTATATATACAAGACTACCGCATCTCTAGTAAAAGCTCGAGACTTCACGAACCTTCGAGAATATGACGTGTTACTAGAGTCACGTGACCCCCGCTGTCCAAACAATATATACTAATCCTAATGCTAGCTTGATGAAGCAATGAGTTAAATTTGTGTATACCTACTTCTTGTTAGTTATAATTAAATATATATTCTTGAAGCCATGCAACATCAGCAGAAAATGACAAAAAACGTTGATCAATAAAAATAGAAATACACTCCTTCCCCTCATCTGGTCACTATCCTTCTCAGAGTTAATTTTCATGGTTCAGAGCGGAACAAAAGCGTCATCTGATGTTACTGCTGCTTCTAGCTCTTTCTCACACGTTATCATCATAAAGGTAATACACTTTCCATCCTCATATACTATATTTTATAATCTATGTAGTATTTGCAAAATCCTTATCTGCATATTACTTTCCCATAGGAAATGATTAAACAATAATGTTTACAGTGTATGTGTACGTGAAATTCATCCACTTCTGCAAAAAATAAATAAAAAGTTTGTTTGTTTGTTGAATTTCGTGCAAAGCTACTCGAGGGTTGTCTTCAGCCATCACTAATTTTGAAGTGATAACTATATGGAAGGCAGCTAATCAACGCTATACAACACCAACTTTTGAGTTACTCTTTACCAACGAATAAAAAGATTGATTGCCACATTATAACAACACCATGGCTGAAAGAGCGAGCAAAAAACAGCCAGAATTCTGCTTTGGCTTAAACAGTAGGTGATATCTAATAACCACGGCAAAATAAAGAAACTTGGTGTTACTCACATTAAACAGTTTTATTCATGTGTTGTAAAAAAAACTGAATTGACATACATTTTAGCTTGTAATTCACATAAAAATCATCACTGAGTTACAATGAACAAAATGTAATGTGGTAAATTAGGAACTTTACTAAATGTAAATGTGTTTATGAGATATCACCTATTCTTTGAGGTAAAGCATAATCTTGCTTTTTTGTTGCTTAAGCGTTTTTGGATAAATATTGGTACAAGGTTCTATAATCAGACCCTACTTAATGCAGCCATTAAGTACATTGCTGTTGGTCATAGGGGAATGAACCACAACAAATAGGTAGTTAGAATGAAAGCAATTTATCTGCATTTCTTTACCAACATATTATTTTCAAAACTACACAAACATGTATGTTCAAAAAACGATTTTCTCTTTTCATGCCTTTGGGCTGTCCTTGGCCATCCCTAATTCAATTTTTAATCCAATAAAAATCCACAGATTTTTCATGAAATTGGTGTAGTTTACTTTTTTCCCTGGAAATCTTCGTAAATGAAAGGCCAGCACAGAATTGTGGATCTACACACTTTAGCTACTAGAGAGCCCAAGCTTCTATATATCTTGTAGCTCGGGCCTGAGAATGGAGAGCAGTTAAACCATGTTTCGCTGGGTAATTGCTGTTTATGCTATTCTCAGAGGCTTCCATTTGATGCTAATATATGGCTATAGCCAAGATTATAATGTTAACACCAGGCAAAGTTGATTATATGGTTTCTGGAGGCCGCTCAACCAATGTTGTAGTAGTATGGGCTAAAGAGAAGTCTGCTTCAGTTGGGGTATAGTTTTCTCATTGACGATGAAGGTATGTATCTGATGCCATCATGTGATTTCCTTCCACTGGGACCTCAGATGTCGATTCTATCATTCACAGCAAGGCTGCAGGTAGACTTTGTTCTTCCAGAGTGTCAGAAGATGTTGGTTTTTTGGTCACGGCTGGTACATCTCTCAGCAACTTTGAGATTGACAAGGCATCATCTGTAAACAGGTATCCTCCAGAAACTGAGGGTTAATCTGCCCATGCATATTAGAGAGAGTGGACTAGCAACTATTCTTCATCCAGTGGTTCTGTTACTACACGATT